AACAATTATTATTTATTTTTTAATTTTTAATTACAAGTATAATATTTTCCAACACCGAAATATCTAATAATATTTATATCAAATTAAGAAAATTAATATAAGTTTATTTTAAAATAATTGCATTTTTAAAAGTCTTTCTTTATTAATGAAGAATACAAAGTTTCAACTATGTAATCCTTGATCCCTTTGAATATTTTACAAGAGGTCAGTCCATATAAAGTAGTATATAAAGACCCAATATAGTTCCTCTAATTTAGACAGGATTATAAAATTAAAATATGGTATATTACAATTAATCAAAATGGAAGAATTTCTAAAAATTAATGATTAGAAAAGAATGTCTTTAGCACCAAGAGAACAATTTTCTTCCATCCAGAACATCACTTGCAATCTTTTCATAAACAAGAAAATCATTTTCTATCTTCTAATAAAATTTTTGCGAACTGGATCGACTCTACAGGCACATCCAGCAGGGAATTTGAAGAGTGCCACAATGGGACTTCTATTGGGATCATGAGGATGAACTGCAATCAAACGATGTAAGCTGAAACGTTGCTGACACGTTGATTCGTAGTGTGATGCAATGAAATCACAAGGTTCATTCGGTCTTCTACAGAAAATATATTAAAGTTTCAATATTCAATTCAATTTAAACATCTTTATTATTTAAACTTAAAAGTTAACTTACTTGCAACGTTCTGTTCTAACTTTCTGTGGGAAAATGTCAGTATTGATAACAAGTAACCAGTCACCATTTAATGCATTTTGTGCCCATCCTGGTCTCATTGTGGATGCTTCAGTTTCGCAGGCAAAATTACCTTTCGCTGCAGGACTATCTCCAAAATGACTTTCGAATAATTTAGGATCTCCAACGGTTTGCAATTCTTCGTACATGACTTTCATTGTTGTGATGCTATGATTAACCACTTTGTTTACAAAATCTCTGAATAGAAATAAATAATAACGACATTAATATACATTTTAAACAAAAAATCCTTCACAAATTTTATTGATTTTAAAAGTAATTCTTTATTCGTTTGACATTAATTTATAGAAAAAATATTTAGGTTAAACGTATAAAAGTAAAGAAAATTTCGTAAAGAATTAAAATTGAATAAATAAATAATTGAAAATATTCTAAATATTTTCATTATGCCTCTTTTTTATTCTTAATATCTAAATTAAATGAAGTAAACTTTAGGTTAATACAATATAATATGTAGAAAAATGCAATTAAGATATTTTGTTATTAATCAAATATGTTTTCCTGACAATAATGAATTGCAAACATACCATAAAAACAAATTATGTGATTTGCAGGATTCTAAAATTTACGTTATCATCTTTATTTAACAGTGAATTTATATAGAAAATTACATTCTGAAATTAATTTATTAATTTATAAAATAATACATATTTTCCTAAGGAAATTTTCATAAAACTTTCTCGGTTTTTTATTAATTATATTATCAGAATCCTTAATTCATATTGTTTGTAATACAATGACAAAAAATAGGAAAGAAAAAACTTCATATTTGTTTTTCCAGCAAATCAGATGTCAGAATACAAATTCTGAAGTTTTTGATGCGTATGAATTGTATTGTACTGTACTGTAAAAATCTTATATCCTTAGATACATTTTGATATAAGATGTATCCTTAGATACATTCTTTTGTACTTTTATCCATTTGGGCAGAAAACATATTTTTAAATTATAAAGCTAAGAATAAACTACATTTAAATCTTTTATTATATACAGAAAGATAATGTTTAAAAGTTGTATTTATTCTATAAAAATAATAATAATTTTTTTTAGTAAGGATGTCATTAGTAAAAAGTGAACTTAACAAATATAATTACATATTTAAAAGATTTTTAAATAATTAGATGTTACATTTTCCACTTTAAAATAATTTTATTTAAATAAAAATTAAGTAATTTAATTATTCAGTGTGAGTATACAAGGTCTGTTCAAAAAGTATCGGACCTTATTTTTTATTATTATTATTATTTTAAAAAATGATAATGGCTAATTCTAAATTAAATATATTTTAGGGTTGAATATGGAAATGAAATTTTTTGTTAAACATGCAAAATGTATCCTAATATATGTTAAGTAAGTTTATAAAGTAATAAAAATCTCAGAACTTTGATCATTTGGAAGCACGTTACTTAAGTTTAGCATTTTCGATTCTTAATTTTTCCAATACGAACTGAAGTTGTCTGTCCACTTCTGCTAATTATTCTAATTTTACTCTTCATTCAGAATTATTTCCAATAAGTACTTAACGAATTTCCCCTTCGTAATACTTAATATTCAAAATCAGATGTTTCAACTCAATTACTTTGACTTCATTGGGGCATTTAGGCCTAATTCCGAGGACAAGTCAATTAAGTCGCCTTTCATTCTCTTCGCCAGATAACTCATGACTTCTTCAATTACTTTATATTTTTAAATATATATATTTGTTAAATATAGATTACATTTAGATTAATCATGATTAGGGGAGATCGGGGCAAGATCGGCATGTTAAGCTTTACTTAAATTTTGTGTAATAAATACTGCTGTAAACTGAAAAGAAGCTTTGCATATTGTCTATTGGAATGTTACCTTACTATAGAACTGGTTAAAATCAGTTTGGAAATAAAAATAATTAAAATAATTACAACTTTACAAGAAGAGAGAAATTGACGAAGTTGCCCCGGGTATAGGGGCAAGATCGGCAACTTCTCTCTTTTTGTAAAGTTGTAATTATTTTAATTATTTTTATTAAAGTTGCCCCTGGTATAGGGGCAACAGTAATGGGGCAAGATAGGCACGTATATAAAATTATGTTATTAACAATGTATAAGTTGGAATTCACTATTAAAACAAAGAAATACAAATCCAACACCCATTTAATATTATTACAACGAAATGCAAGTTCAAAGACATATATACATGAATAACAAATGCAAACATGTTTTCATTTATCATCTGTTTGATTTTTATCCTTTGCTTCTAATGTGGCTTTATGTTGCCGATCTTACCCCGCTAGTCATGATTTCGAAACATTAAGTACAACCCTGAGAACAGAATGCCAAGCCACGATCTGGCCACGTGAATAAGTTGAAGTTACATCCTTCTAACAGGAAAAGTAACTTTCGTTATCATGGAATTATAACAAAACCTGCCAATTCAATATAAATGGAAAAAAAATATTATATGGAATTGAACGAAAATGAAAATTTGCTTGATAATTCAACTACGCTTGTTGGAGAACAATAAAAACACTACACTCAACAAGCCACCAATAAAACTCAACTGCCTAACCTATAACCAAAGTCTCCTTTTAATTTGTTTTTAAAAAAAAGCGCTTGACAAACTTGCCCCGCATGCCGAAGTTGCCCCGATCTCCCCTATATTCATCACACATCTCATTGTCAAAGTAATTACTTATTTTAAAGTACTGTGAAAGATCTGAGCATACTCATCTTCCCAAGTTTGATTGAATATACCTGTTTATAGTTCTTTATAATGATACTTATTGCTATGGTTTAAAATTGTATCACAAATATACTATCTGAATATAAAATTAACCGACTGACCGAACGCTGTCTTTCGATATAATTAGAGTCACTCTGTTTCAGTGACGTATACTATCTTCCTTGCATAATATATAGAATGCTTGCGTACTTTCATTTCTCTATAATTAGGCTACTATAATTCACTTATTCTAAAAGTATTGGAAACTTTTCCTGTTTTATACAAATTGCTTACATTCCATGTTTCACTCGTTCTTCTATCAGACGGTTCATTTTTGATTCTAGATGATCGGGAAATTTCTTAGCATTCCTGTTCCATTTAAGATTACCCACACTCGGGGACATTACACTTATCAGTTATAATCATGATTATGCTGGGGAATAAATAATAGCATTTTAATTTAATTCCTTTTATTTCCTTCAAGAAAGAACCCAAGGAGGATCTAACAGAATTTACAAGGATTTAAGATTTCATCCATTTTTATCATCTTTTAGTATTCTTTTTCTTCTATTAATATATTTTTATTTTAATCCACCTTCTCAGAAGTAATGCCGACAAACTTTTAGAAACGTCTTGAAACTAATTTAAGAATTTATTTTCTTATTTTATTCGAAAAAAATCGATATTTTTCTAAAACTAAATGAACATTTCTTGTATTCTGATTTGTTTGATCTGTAAAAAATTTAATGAAAAAGTGTTGCTAGAACTGTTTTATATATTATTCTATCAAAATTTTGTTCAGTGCAATTTTATTCTAAAAAATATAAAATGTTTATTTAACGAGAAAGTATGCAAAAGAGTCTCTTGAAATTTAATAATTTTTCTTTAAATTAATAAAGAATATAATCATGAAACATTAATTGTTTCAAACTTTTTACCATTCTTACAATATACCTTTAAAACTAACTGATCTCAAATAACTACTGTTCACAAATGATTAAATAGGATCTTATTCACTTCTTAAACCCAATAATTTAGCACTGCCTTAAATTGACTTTTACAGTACTGATATTTCAGCATTGTTAAAGGTGTTGGAACGTGATAGTGGATAGAAAAATTAAACAAAATCTATTATAAAGCATTCTTTTACTACCGATTACAGATAATTATTTTTATACATTTTTTAATGAACAAAATTTTTAAATTAATCACTAATCGCAAATTTAAAAACTAGTCCTTTTGAAACTAAATGTAATAATTTTTATACAATTACATTTTATTAAATAGTATTTTAATTTTCCGTAAGTGTAAGAAAAGTGTAAGATGATAACTCATTTAAATTAATTGATGTAATAATATAGACCTACTATAAATAAATTTATGACCTCATGAACATTTTTCAAATGATTTTTAATTCAAACTTGGTCATTCAACTATCGTAACCCCTTGTAGAAAATGGTGTTAAACTGCTAAATAACTAAAATTTTAAATAATTCTTAATTGTATTGATTTATTAAAATACTTACTCAGGATAATCATCTGTTAAAATACAGAAATTCTTTCCAGTAATTGCACAAGGAGGCATAGATCCATCCGGTCTAGGCCTGTCTGGTCTTTGAATTTTTTGAGGAGGTCCGGGAGTTGGGCAATCTTCGTCTGTTACAGGTGGTGGCCTGGTTGGTGGTAAAGTGGGTGGTCTAGTTGGAGGTCTTGTAGGTGGTCTAGTTGGAGGGAATGTGGGTGGTCTAGTTGGAGGTCTTGTAGGTGGCCTTGTTGGAGGGAATGTGGGTGGCCTAGTTGGAGGTCTTGTAGGTGGCCTTGTTGGAGGGAATGTGGGTGGCCTAGTTGGAGGTCTTGTAGGTGGCCTTGTTGGAGGGAATGTGGGTGGCCTAGTTGGAGGTCTTGTAGGTGGCCTTGTTGGAGGGAATGTGGGTGGCCTAGTTGGAGGTCTTGTAGGTGGCCTTGTTGGAGGGAATGTGGGTGGCCTAGTTGGAGGTCTTGTAGGTGGCCTTGTTGGAGGGAATGTGGGTGGCCTAGTTGGAGGTCTTGTAGGTGGCCTTGTTGGAGGGAATGTGGGTGGCCTAGTTGGAGGTCTTGTAGGTGGCCTTGTTGGAGGGAATGTGGGTGGCCTAGTTGGAGGTCTTGTAGGTGGCCTTGTTGGAGGGAATGTGGGTGGCCTAGTTGGAGGTCTTGTAGGTGGCCTTGTTGGAGGGAATGTGGGTGGCCTAGTTGGAGGTCTTGTAGGTGGCCTTGTTGGAGGGAATGTGGGTGGCCTAGTTGGAGGTCTTGTAGGTGGCCTTGTTGGAGGGAATGTGGGTGGCCTAGTTGGAGGTCTTGTAGGTGGCCTTGTTGGAGGGAATGTGGGTGGCCTAGTTGGAGGTCTTGTAGGTGGCCTTGTTGGAGGGAATGTGGGTGGCCTAGTTGGAGGTCTTGTAGGTGGCCTTGTTGGAGGGAATGTGGGTGGCCTAGTTGGAGGTCTTGTAGGTGGCCTTGTTGGAGGTCTTGTAGGTGGCCTAGTTGGAGGTCTTGTAGGTGGCCTTGTTGGAGGGAATGTGGGTGGTCTAGTTGGAGGTCTTGTTGGTGGCCTTGTTGGAGGTCTTGTAGGTGGCCTAGTAGGTGGCCTAGTAGGTGGTCTAGTAGGTGGCCTAGTAGGCGGTTTTGTAGGTGGTCTAGAATTAATACAAAATGAAAAATTTTCATTCAAAATAAAATAAATCGATAATGTTTTTTAAAAAAATCAGTATCATTTAGAAAAGCAGTTGTAAGATAATACAATATTATTGATGATATTAATTAAATCAAAAGTTTATTCCGTATTTTACAAATTTAAATGTATAAATTTTTTTAAATGAGCAAAAACTGAAAAACATATTAAAAATGCTATTCTCTTTCAAAGATATATATAATATAATTATACTTTCATAAAGAGTGAAATCTAAGTAATAGTATAGAATCAGAAGAGTTTACAGTCCTTTTATAACAATAGCTGTTTCATTGCATTATTTTTTTATTCTTTGAAAGTGCAATGATTCTAAATTATTGAAAAATAGATAAATATAAACAGAGAAACGAAACCTAAATTAAAATAATAATTAAGAAACAAACCTAATAAATGTAATGTGAAAAACTTAAATATCATTTATACTAGCGTTGTTTTATTCACGTTCCTGAGTTTTAGTTTCAGTCATATTATCATATGGGATTCAAATAGATAAATTATTAAAATAAAAATAATAATTAAATAAATAAAATGCGTACAGGTTGTCATGACAATAATACTAAACTTCACCAGTGTTTGTAGAATGACAAAACTTTGGTCCCACAAACAGGTATCAAGAAATGCACCGTTCAGGAGCTAGACAGGTTTTGTTATAGTGGGTGACATACGGTATGTGTTGTAAACCTGTAACTGAACCTTCTGTAGATAGAAGAAATGAAACTCCGCCTTGTGCAGCATCCACCAGACACTCTGTTGTGAACCATCCATATTTGTTGCGATTGCTTGGTTGCTGGTGGTCTCCCAACATAAGCCAGCGTGTCGATCTCATCAGAACTGTATGACTTTCCCGTTAATAAAGATTTCATAATATTGCATGGATCAGGCTTTTTACAACAAATCTTCATACGCGCAATGCTCATTGCACAGCATTCTGGAGTATCAAATTCCTACCTAGCATTCCAACAGTGGATTTAAAAAATATCATTATACTACAATAATCGAAAGTGAGATGCAACTGGTGGCGGCGTAGTTCTTGTAACATATCTGACAAGCATAAATTTTGAATGAAAAGCTTAGATAGAGTTACTTACACCCTTCAAAAATATAAAAATATTGTATTAGAAAAGATAAATGTATTATACATTGGCGTCCATGCAGTAAGTAATAACTTAATTCATCCATAGCGACTAAGATATAGCATTATCACGATATCATTAATACCTCAATTTCGTATTATGTTTTCATATCATCAAGTTTTATCGAAGTTTTCGCTTTCTTGAGTGTAACTCTCGAAAGATTTCTAGTTAATCATCGTTGTAATATTACACGNTGGTAGATATGCAGCTTAATGTTACAATGTGCCTGGTTTCTGGTACTATACAATCTACTCCAGCACTTTGGCTATCATTATTGACAGGAATCATGCCACTGACCTGCGATGTTTTAAGGCCCTTGTTTGCGAGTCCCTAAAGATAAGCAAAAATCTTCAGCTCCAAGTTCACCAAGACATTCCATCTTTGAGTATTAACCATTTGAAATCTCGGAATCCAACCCTTCAGGCATCTCAAGACATGGCCACAACTGATGGTGACTACACGACATTGTGGAAAAACCACTGGGAAACAGGAACGGGGCCCTACTTGCACAGTCTGTTCTGTTGTGGAGAAAAAAATCCAGGGATTTGACTTACTTCGCAAAACATGGACCATATTAAACCGTGTCAGGACAGGCCATGGCAGGTGTAGAGACTCTTTGTTCAAATGGAAGAAGGTTTCAAGCCTGGAGTGTGATTGTGGTGCTCTACATCAGACTGTTAAGCACATTGCACATGAGTGTACAATGTGGGCTTTCCTAGGAGACTGGAGTGACATACTAAACTCAGAAGCCGTAAAGTGGATAAGCAAGTTAGATCTACAGCTCTGAATACTCTTTATATTCTTGTGTATATGTGCAGTCACATAATTGTACAGTTTTATAATTGTATATGGATTTACTGTTTCTTATTCTCTTATTTCATTTCTTATTTTGTGTTACTCCATTTTGTTACGCTTTGTTATAAGCCATACGCTAAATAAATGAAAAGGTTTTTAAAATGTAGTAAAATTATTTTAAGTTAACAATGAAGATCTATAAAAATCAAAATATATTTTTAACTTTGCATATTTTAATAAAACGAAATACGATTATTTTTAAACAAGCTAATCAGTATTTTGAATAATAAAATTACTTGTTAATTGAAATATATTTCTAAAAACATTCATTAAACTTTTCTTCGGATAAGTTTAATCAATGTTCATAAAATATTTTAGTAGAATCTAAACCATAAATATTTTATGAACATTGAAATCTCATGGTGACAAATAAAACTTTTAAGAAAAAACATCATTAAAATTTCTGGAATGACAAATACTGTATATACTTAACAACGAGATATTTATTCTGTGAATTTTTTGGGCTGCAATTTGAAAAAATTGTAGACCTATAAATATATTTTATATTAAATAAATTTAAAAAATATAATTAAAAATTGCAGCCCTGCATTCAGACGATGTGACAATAAATATTTGCTTGTTGTCAATTAAAACTAAAATATACAAGTTAAAATACTTGGAAGTTTTAATTTTAATAATCAAAGAAAAACTTCTTTCAAAATTATTTTTTTATCTTTGCCGATTAAAAATGAAAGAATAATAGGAAGAAAAAATGCTATTCTTATAAGGGATTGAATGTTTACTATCAAATGCCTTGTTATCAATGTAAATTAAGTTTATCCACATGATAAAATGAAAATCAGCAAATTGAATTATTGAATAATTTTTCAGTTTTCTTAATAAGAAAAAAGATTAATATATTCTTCCCTAACTTTTAAAATGAAAACAAACTCATAATACTTAATTTCAATTTTTAATACTTTTTTTTTTTATCTAAAATCCTATAACTTGTTCTTCTTTGTTTTCTCTATTATGCAAGTTTTTATATTTTTCTATTCTTTATAATTATATAATTATTGTAATCTTACCCATCCAATGCACTTGTCAGAAATTTACCTTGCTCCTCCGTAATCATTTCCTTGTTTTCTAATTTTCCTAAGTTAAACCTTCCTTTATTTCTGTTTATTAAGTTTAAAAATATAGTCACTATAGTTTAATCACTGCAAGATAATAATCAGAGTTATAATCAGCACTTCCGAAGATTCTTACGGATAAATTTCCTGAATCGAAAGTTAATTAAATTGTAGTTTAGCTGGTCCTCTAGAGACCTCCAGCCTCTAGAGTCCTCCAGGTACACTTATGTATTGATTTAAACAGAAATTTACCAGATAATATAAAATGACAACGTTTTGTTTGTTACCAAGAATACGACAATATTAAATTCTTGATAATAATTTCTACGAAAGAACGAACTAAATTAATAAGAAATTCTTTCATTTTAAACGAAAATTATATTATATTCTTAATAAAATTTTTGTAGTAACATTTTTTAAGTTAATGCAATAATCATGTATAAATAATTTGCTAATATATTAGTACAATATCAGATGCAGTAATTTTGGATAATTATTATATCTAATATTAATCGTAGGAAAAATTAACGAGATAAACATTAAAGCCGAATTTTAAAAAATGAATTTCGTAACTAATGAAATGCTAATTTCGTCAATATTTATTGTTAAGCTTGTTGCAACGATGAAGTAATAAGCTAAAATATAAGATATTCATTTTACTTTGGTATGACGATTTCTGTATAAGAATAATTATTCATAATTATACAGAATTATAAAATACACGAAAAACTGCTAAAAAACGAAACGAATTGAACAATGTTTTACTTTGCAATCACAAAACTCTTAATTTTTTTAAACTAAATACTTATCATTGAGGAAATAATACTTTAACAATCATATTTTCTAGTGTTGCATTTATATAGAAGATTACAAAATGTGAACATCAGAAAGAAAAATATATTTACTTCTTCTTTATGTATATAATATACAAAGCAAAAATGTTTTATGTTTGGTCGTTTGCTAGAGGTAATCCTAGAATCTACAGAACCTATTTTAAAAATTCTTTCACTATTGAAAAGCTGATATCTTTCGCATGAACATAAGCTATATAGTATTTTCATATTAAAAAAGGAAAATACACGAGAACGATGTTGTTACTGCGACATTTATCTTTTATCGTGGTATTGTCGTTTCTCTGTTCCTTTCAAGGTATATCTCCTTCGCCACCTGATGGGCTTCTTTGAACTTATTATCTTATCTATTCGGTTTCGATTTTAATTCGTGCATTTCGAGTAGTTGTGTATATGGTTTTTGGTCGTTCGTTTCTTATAATAACTTTCTTATGTTATCAGATGCTTACATCTATAAGGACCGATAATTTATTTTATTTCAATGAAACTAAACTTTTGTACGTACTGTAAACATACAGTATTTTTGTTTTTATGGTTTTAGTATGAATCCTACCATATCATTATTTAAAATTAAGAATTAGTCTTATGCTATCAGAAATCCAGCAACATGAAATTGAATTCTTTATGTTACTTTTCAGCTGTACACATGTGTGAGTGAGCCTTATCAATGAATAAATGCCTAGAAGAAAGTCGCAATGCTTATTGAAAGCTTATTACTTTCCAATTTATATCAGCTAACCTAAAATCTCTCCCTCCTTCTCTCTGATTTTATCTCTCAACCCCCAAAATCTCAAACCTTTTGAGCGATATGGACAAATTTTTAATAGTTAGTCTACAATCCTCCAACAAATATACGCTACTTTAAAATTCAGACCCCCATTTCTTCCTTCTAATTTCATACCCACAAACTGCCAAACCCTTTGATTGATTTTCACCAAATTTTGCATAGTTACTCTCTGTCACCTTGCGAGAAACATACGCTACCCTACAACGATGACAACTCAACCCTTTCCTGAGTTCCCAGGCAACGCTGGG